TGGGAGCTCCTAAAAATCAAACACTTATGCTCATCAAAAGACTTCACCAAAAGAGTCAAAAGACAACCTATACACTGGGAAAAAAAATTTTGGCTATGACAAATATGATCAGCGTCTAATTTCTAAAATCTAGAAGGTACTGCAAAATCTCAACAACAAAAAGACAACCCAATTAAAAAATGGGCAAAGGATATGAACAGGCACTTTGGCAAAGAAGATATTCAGGCACCTAACGGACCTGTGAAGAAATGCTCACGATCATTAGCCGTTAGAGAAATGCAGATCAAAACTACAATGAGATATCATCTCACCCCAACAAGGCTAACACTAATCCAAAAAACACAAATTAATAAATGCTGGAGAGGTTGCCGAGAGACTGGAATACTTATACACTGTTGGTGGGAATGTAAAATGGTACAACCACTTTGGAAATCGATTTGGTGCTTCCTTAAAATGTAGAAATAGAAGTACCACATGATCCAGGTATCCTGCTCCTTGGAATATATCCTAGAGAAATAAGAGCCGTCACATGAATATATATATGCACACCCATGTTCACTGCAGCACTGTTCACAATAGCAAAAAAATGGAAACAACCTAGGTGCCCATCAACAGACGAATGGATAAACAAATTATGGTATATCGATATAATGGAATGCTACGCAACGATAAAGAACAACAATGAAGCTGTGAAACATAACATGGAGGAAGCTGGTGGTCATTATGCTGAGTGAATTTAGTCAGTCACAGAAGGATAAATATTGTATAAGACCACTATTATAAGCACTCAAGAAAAGGTTTAATTACAGAAGAAAAGATACTTTGATGGTTACGAGGGTGGGGAGGTAGGGTAAGGGTTATTTACTAACTAGATAGTAGATAAGAATTATCTTAGGGGAAGGGAAAGACAGCACACACTATAGGGTAAGTCAGCACAACTGGACTAAACCAAAGCTAAGAATTTTTCTGAATACAATCAAACACTTTGAGGGACACAGTAGCAGGGGTAGGTGTCTGGGGACCATGCTTTTGGGGGCATCTAGGTCAATTGGTATAACAAAGCTTATTAAGAAAATGTTCTGCATCCTACTTTGGTGAGTAGCATCTGGGGTCTTAAAAGCTTCCAAGCAGCCATCTAAGATGCATCAATTGGTCCCAGCCACCTGCAGTAAAGGAGAATGAAGAACACCAAAGACACAAGGCAAGTACTAGCCCAAGAGACAGAAAGGGCCACATAAACCATAGACTTCATCAGCCTGAGACCAGAAGAACTAGATGGTGCTCGGCTACCACCAATGACTGCCCTGACAGGGAACACAACAGAGAGTCCCAGATGGAGCAGGAGAAAGGTGGAGTGAAGAACTCAAATTCTAGTAAGAAGACCAGACTTAATGGTCTGAGACTGGAGGAACTGCGGAAAGCATGGCCCTTGGATTGTCTATCGGCCCAGAACTAAAAAAATTTCCAAGGTCAACTCTTCAGACAGGGATTGGACTCGACTGTGGGACATAAACTGATACTCATGGGGAGTGTGTCTCTTAGCTCAAGAAGATACAAGAGACTAAATGGGCGGCTTCTGTCTGAAGGTGATATGGGAAGGCAGAGAGTGTTAGGAGCTGGTTGAATTGACATGGGGAATCAGGGGTGGAGAGGAGAAGTGTGCTGTCACAATATGGGGAGAGCAATTAGAGTCACATAACAATGTATGTATAAATTTTTGTATGGGAAAAAATAAAAAAAAATAAAAAGAAAGCACAAAGACAGAACAAACCAGGTAACTTGATATTATCACAGTTCTGGAGGCAACCTACCCCATGACTTCTATTAATATGGCAACATACATCTCCTTTTTGTCTGAGCCAGCTGAACGGGGTTTTATTTTTCTTCTTGCAGCTGGAGATACACTGACACATAGAATTTCACGTTGGCTTCCTACGTTTTGCTTAGGTGGAAACATTTCTTAGAGGCAACTTATAAAATCTTTTCATAAAGAAAAACTATAATCAGTTATCTCCTTGGTTTGCATATTAGAGCAAAATGTTATTTTAAAAATGCTCAGAATCACACTTTTGGGAACTGGTGTGAACGTTAGGAATATTTTTGTATAATTCAGCTGAGCCAAAATTCACCAATTAACTATTTCAAGGTCCTCATTTTTTAGATAAGGAAACTGAGAGCTACTATCACTAAGAGTATAAAAAAACTACAAATGTTGACCTAAGATGTAATTAAAAAAAAAAAAAATGAAGGCAGATAATCATACTCATTGGCAACAAAAAGGATATTTTCCTGGCAATGTTGTTCCAACTCGGTAATCAGTGTAGCTCTTGCTTGGATGGAAGTTGAAAATAAAAAGAAGATCTGCTCTCTCAAAAGCGATAATCTTATTGCTTTCATGCTTTTCACTCACCAAGCCCTGCAAGAATGAACACAACTATTATATTAAATAATACTAAATGCTGCTATGAGTACTGTTTCCCAAAAGTTGTCTTTCTTAATAGCCTTATTGGTTAGTAAACCAAAATTGAAAATGCCAGAATATATTTTTTGAACAGCATGTTACAATTTCAACATCTCAAACTATAAGCCAACAAGAACCTCACAATTTGCTTAAAAAGCATATAAAAATACTACCAGCCACCTGCCAATATCAAACAAAGCCTAATGAAAGGATTAATGTTGTAGCTTGGATTCTAGGTAAAAACATGGCCCCTGTACTATACATAAAGTTTTTGTGTACATGCGTGTATTAAAACCAGCTGTCTTTGAGTCATCTCCAACCCATGGTGACCCCATGTGTGTCAGAGTAGAACTGTGCTCCAAAGGGTTTTCAATGGCTGATTTGTCAGAAGGAGATCATCAGGCCTTTCTTCCAAGGTACCTCTGGGTAGACTTAAATATCTAACCACTTGGATTCCGTGCATATATTAGAGCTACTTATAAACACATTTTCTTTAAGACCTTTTGTAAAAGTCCTCAGACTAATGAGGTAAGGTACTAAAATCATTTTTCACAATATAGTATAATATTGCTATTATATCTAAATATCTGAAATTTTAGTTATCTTAAAAACTATGTTTTTGCACAACTGTGTCAGATTTAATGACAACCTAAAGTCCACTATAGTGTGTGTGTGTGTGTGTGTTTTGTGCAAGTATCGTGTGTGTCTGTGTATGAAGCCCTGCTGGCACAGGGGTTAAGCACTTGGCTGGTAACCAAAAGGGCAGTTGGCACCCATCAGCTGCACCATGAGAGAAAGATGTGGCAGTCTGCTTCTGTAAAAATTACAGCCTTGGAAACTCTATAGGGCAGTTCTGCTCTGTCCTATAGGGTCACTACAAGTTGGAATCGACTTGAGAGCAACAGGGTTTTATATATATATTCTCTCAGAGAGAGAGAGAGAGAGAGAGAGAGAGAGAGGTCTGAAAATAAATTACAACATCTACAAACTCTTTATTTTATACATAGTGTTTTACAGCTGGCAGTGAGAAGCCTTTGCTTTTTCAACAGCACCCTCTCCCAGCCCCAGTTTAGAGGGGACTTATTTCCATGCATATCAGCATCACCACTCCTGGTAATTTAGAAATCTGAACTAAGGCTCTAGAGTAAACAATGTGCCTTTTGGTATTCAGCATTGTTCCTATTGAAAAGGAACATCATTTTGCTCTCTCTCCTGGAAATAGTATTACTAATAAACGTGATTAGGGCATTCCTGTCATGTACTCAGTCTTCCTGAACATATAAGTACCTTTGTTCAACCATTAAAAAAAATCATACACATCAAAGTAAAAACAGATCAACAGTAATTTCAAACAGCACCGGTATAAAGTAAATGGATTATAACTAACACATACTATATGCTAATTTTTGCAAGGAAAAAAAAAGCCTGTATAAAATTTGTACCTGTTAATTACATTTTCTAAAACTTATTGAAAACTGAGACTTTAATTCCAGAGAAGAGTCGGACTCATAAAAAATACAAAACAGCATGCAGGTATAATGGCATCCTATTGAAATGACAAGTTAGAGACCAGGAAAAGAGAAGGGAGGGGGGAAAAAAGAGAAAGAAATCTACATTTTTCCAAAATAGTTTCTTTATGACAGCATAATTAGTTATATAAAGAAAAACAGTCAAAACAATTAAGATGTTTTCACAGCAATTTCTAAAATGGATTCCGTGCAGCGCTTCTGTCATTTATTTTAGCCAATTGAAATAAAAATTACTAAATTTAAACAACAATAAACTAACCAGGAAGGTAAGTAACACATTATGTTGAAGATTTTCATTATCTATTGGAGAGACTTGGGTGGCATGTTTTGACAACTTTAAGTAAGTTACAAGGCACTACACAGCCAATTAACAGTGCTGTTTAAAAGAGCTACATATAGATGTAAACCGATTGCCATTCTAAGCATGTACAAATTGGTGACTCAAACGTAACTTTCAGAGTAAAGAACTTACCTGTGGAGCTGAAAGCCAACCACGTCTTTCCTCCAATTTATTCATATCCCTGTCAAAGTTATTTAGGAACTTATACCGGAGAAGGTCATCATCAGCTAAATGAAACTGCCTTCTGGCATAATGGTAACTCTCATTGTTTCCCTTCCTTGGGAAGTCTAACCATTCTGGATGTCCAAATTCATTACCTGCATTTAAAAAAAGAAAGAAAGAAAGGAAAGAAGGACAGTAGAAAAGTAGGAAGGAAGGAAGAAAGGAAAGAAGGAAGGAAGAAAGAAGAAGGAAAGAGAGAGGGAGGGAGGAAAGAAAAGAAAAGGTAACTTAGCATTTTTTACTAAGATAATTTAAAAAATATGTTTTAAAAGTCATAACATTTTTAAGATCAGTTTAGCTGACAATTTACTATGGCTGTGCCCTTTGTGTGATGTACGCATGTACGCTCCTGGTTCAGAAACACCATGGTCCGGCACATGGACTCAGAAGCCAGAGTCCAGTTTTGGCTCAGCCACACATTACTTTTTGCATGTTTTGGTTTCCTCAAGCACAAAATGAGGACAACTCTATCTGTCCAACTTATGTCATCTCTGTAATAGTTTCTGAAATCTCTGAGTAATTTCTGAAATCTCTGTTTCTGTAATCTCTGAAATTTGTATAGTGGTTTACAATTTAGGAAGGCTTTGTACGTACATTACTTCTAGATCAAACAGCAATGCTCTGTTATATCCATTTCACAGATGAGAAATCTGGACAGTTAAGGGATTTACCCAACCTCACACACATAACGAGTGGAAAAGTGGTCATTAAAATTTAGTTCTGATTAAACTCCAAGGTTCTTTCCACCCCATCACATTAGCCAAGTGCTTCCTAAACTTCAGGTGCTACAGAAACCCAAGTCATCATTTTTATTATTTATTTCCCTTATTCCCTTCTCAGATCTATTTGTCACCACTACACGTCTATCTTTAATTTCAAGTATGTGTGTGTATGTGCGTGTACAACTGGGATGCTTGGTTGGAAATCTACTAAATATTTTTTCTCAATATAATAATGAGAATAAACTTAAATAAAATAAAAAAATAACAAATACACATTTTTCATTTTGAGAATAAAATTTAGATATTAGTTGTCTTATAGATTGTTTTGTACTATTTTTCCCAAGCTAGATTTTACATTGAGGCTCATTTGTCCCCCTAAAAAATGAAACATGACTTTCCAAAACTGCCTTTCATTTACCACCTTAACTCTGTAATTTGCAAACCCACACAGTTCTCCAATGAGTGTAAAAAGCATCATAACCAACCCAAGTGTGTCCTACTTTAAGAGAAACCAGTAAATTAATATTCTAATAAATAAAAACTAATAAGCAAGGATGGAATTAAAAATGATTTGCTGTAGAGTTGCTTTAAATAGTAAACTCTGATCAGAAACACTGCAATTTACATTTAACTTTCAGGACCATAATCACACACACACACACACACACACACACACACACACAAACAAAACAAAACAAAAACAAAAACAGAAAGACATACAAATATGTCCAGCAGTTTCAGAAAAATCAAAGTGTCGACAAACATTTTGCTTACTTCTAGTATTTCAGTCAAACTGTTAATATTTCTTACGATGTTGTCCACAGTGTGGTAGTGGGAAAGGATGAAATGTTTGACTCGGTGGGCCTACACTTACTTGAAGATGTCTTAAAGTGACACAAGGGACATATGAGTCATGCCGACTTATCAGTCTGGAGCCTGATTAATATCACCTCAAGGTGCATCCACAGCAAAGCTTGCTCAATCAACCATTCAAATGGTAAATTGATGTACCTACAGAATTACAGTTGGAGCATATTCTTTACTGGTAATAAAGGTACTGCTATCTGGGGAAAAGTCTATGTCTAAGTACTACTGGGATTTCAACTAGTGGGGAACTTAGGAGAGACGAGAAATGCCATGAGGTAGCTAAACAAACTGGATCCAGTTGATGCTTCTTGCAGGAGAAGCACTTTTTAATTTTGGTTATGGCCACGGCTCTCTGGCTGACTACAGTATCTACAAGCAATTCCTTTAACCCTCTTTCAGAGGAGAGTGTTACATCATTATCATTATAACCGTCATAATAGAGGTTGCAGCAAATACTTAATGCCTGCTTATTATGTGCCAGGTACTATTATTAGCATTATACATGAATTAACTCCTGCAATCTTCAACAGCCCTATGAGATAGGAAATATAATTGTCTGCAATTTTACAGGTAAGGAAACTGAGACAAAGAACAGTCACACTGTCATCAAATAGCAGGACCTGTTGTGGTGTAATTGATTACTTCTGTGTGGCCTTTCTAGCCATAGTCTTGTAACTCTCACCCAGGTGATTAGGCAGGACTGCGCGATAAGGTAATTATGGCCCACCAAGGGGATTGTTCAGTTTTATCTTAAAAGAGAGTCAATTCCAGAGCAGACAGGAGGATCCTACCACCACCATGGAAGAACAGCCAGGAGCGGAGAGTGCGTCCTTTGGACCCAGGATCCCTGTGCTGAGAAGCTCCTGGAAGCAGACAGAGAGAGAGCAAGCTATAACCCTGAAGACAGTGAGAAGTGGTGGCAGGAGACACCCGGAAACAGAGACTCACCTGCAGAAGATGGTGCAGTGAGCTTCCCAGCCCATGGAGAGAGAAAGCTGAGTGCCTCTGGGGAGAGGCCTAAGGCCAGGGAGAGGTGTGCCTGCAAGCACTGCTGGGAAGAGACTGTCATGATACAAGAAAGGTATCCTGAGTGTTCCTGAGCCTGAATTTTAATTGTTACTTCCTTAATATACCCCTAATCATGAGTATGGTCTGTGAGTTCTGTGTGGCCATTGCAATGAATTATAGAACCCAGCAGAGAAGTAGAGAGTGCTGTGCGAAGGAGGGTTGGTGTCAGAATAGTTGAACATGGTGGAGAGAGGAGGCTTGAGTGGCCTCCACCTCATGGCAGTCAGCCTTGCGCTGTTGATCTTGGTTCTCCTTCCCCTTTGTGGGGTTGGAGGAGGTCAGACACTGCCTCCAACACCATTTTTACACCTGCGAAACCACACAACCTGGTTTAAGAGTCCAGACTCTTACTACTACACCATACTGCTCAGAAGTAAATGCTATGGAAATACAGAACTATGATTGACTGATTTACCATAGGTGGACAGAGTTCCAGGTGAAGGAAATGAATGCACAAATGTATTGGTGTGAAAAAGTGAGATGTTGTGAACAGTTTGGTTTAGGCCCAAAAGGGTTTGTGGTGAGGGAATAAAGCAGGACAGGTAGGATGAGTTTAGATTAACAGAGGTCTCCTATACATGTTACGGACTTTGGACCATATCTGGCAGGCAAAAGGGAACAAATGGTTATTTTTACAAAGGGGAATGAGAAGTTCAGATATGTTTACTATTACCATATCTCTGGTTCAGTGTGGGAAAAGAGACTGGATATAGGGAAAACTGAATGGTAGAAATACTGGTATGGAACCCAGAGTATAAGGCAAGAGATGATAGACACAATGGGAATGGGGAAGAGAATAACTGACTCGAGGGGCATTTCTGAGATGGAAATAACAGGATTGATGACTGAATAACTGAATGGAGGCAGCAAGGAAAAGGAAAGTCTGAAAGAAATTTTGAAGTTTCGAGCATGGGAGACTGAGTAGTGACAGCCTTAACTAAACTATGGGAAAATGGTGACAGAGGAAGTTTGGGAAGAGAAGATAATGAGTTCATTTTCAGGCATGTTAAATTTAAAACTTGAAGGATACACAGGGAGCCAGGATGGATAGAAATAAGGTACTGAAATTCAGAAGAAAATGAGGGATGGGAAGCAAGAGGAATGTGGAAGACCTTTATGAGCAATGGCGGTTACAGCCACGAAAAGAAGAGCTGTTAGAAAAGATAGAGGAGCAATGGTTAGCAGGATGAGAGGAACATAGAAAAGAAAGTATAGAAGGCTAAGAGTTCAGGGAGGTGGTCAGTTATATCAAATGCTTCCAAATAAAATAAGAATGTGCTATATTATCACTCCTTTCGTGTAGGAATCAGATGGTAAAGTGCTCAGCTTCTCAACTTACAGTGTGACCCCAGAATCACCAGGGAAGCTTGTTAAAAATGCTCATCCCATAGTGATTCTGATTAATCAAATCTTGGGTGAGTTCCAGGCAGCAATCTGCATTTCTATCAGCCACCTTGTATTATTCTGAACATAAGTGAACTAAAGATCACACACTGAGAAACACCAACATAGAGATTTGAAGGTTCTTGGACCTATGGGTAAGTAAGGGCAGTTATACATGATACTAGGAACACACATTTCCAAGTCAGACAGAACTGAATTTGAATTCTGATTCGGCATTATGAGTTATGTGAATTTAGGCAATTACATCTCTCTAGTGCTCAGTTTCCTCATCTATAAAATAGTATAATAAGTTCCATAAAGCTCTTATAAGATTGAAATGAGATAATTGATGAGGTTCTTGGCAGATGATCTGCCAACTATAAATTTTCAATGTATGGCAGCTCTAATGTTACCCACTTCTACTTATTACTGATGTTATTCAGAAACGAATGGCCTAGAGGGCAATAGATGGGAGTTATGTGAAAGCTGAAATGTCTACCTCTCACCATTTGGAGGAGACACATAACCACCCCAACTCTGCAGCACACATACAAGTAACCAGGATGAATTAAAAGGACAACTATTCGGCTTTTCTTCACATAAATTTTCACGTATGACCTTATTACTTTCTTTAAAGTGTTGCAATTCTATATTGATACATATAGTCATGTTTTAAAATTGCAAATACATTTTGCAAAACCAAGTATTAATGGACTTTGAATTATCTACTACTTTAGATCTCAAAAGACAGACTTTAATGTGAAAATAATTTTTCCCAAGGCACCCAGATTGACAGGATAAATCAAGTTGCTATGTTAGGTGCCCCTCTTCACCCCCTTCCTTCATTATTCCTCCATATTCAACCTGCAAGGTCTGTAAACAAGCTCTCAAGGGTTATTTATAGTATAACTGAGTGGACTATCTTCCACTTAATATTTTAGGTGCCCCTCTAAAATTAGACTCCTGATTGGGCTGGCACACTACTGTCACTTGAGGACCTCACCATTTCCTAATTTCTTCTCAATCTTCTTGCAAATGTGACCCCAGGTCATAGC